TGTAAATCAAAACCATAATGATCTATTACCTGACTCAGTAAGAATTACTTATTAAAAAGACTAAACATAACACATGCTAAAAAAGATATGTGGTAAAGTGAACACTTGCACACCATTGGTAGAAATATAAATTAGTACAGCCATTGTGGAAAACAACTTAGAAGTTCACCAAAAAATTAAAAACAGATCTAGCATATGTTTTAGCAACACAACTACTGGGCATATATATCCAAGAGATATGAAATCAGTATAAAGGGCATCCACACTCCTACATTCCTTGCAGCATGATTCATAGTCACCAGGAAATGGAAACAATATCAGTGTCCATTCACAGATCAATGAATAAAGAAAATGTGGTGATACTTACAGTGGAGTAATATTAATCCATAAAAATGAATAGAAGCCTGTCATTTGTAGTATGCAGAACCTGAGATTAATATGCTAAGTGAAATAAGTCAGACAAGAATAATGTTTTGATTTACATTTTCTTCACCTATCTCTATGGCACCCATAACTGGCCTTTGTGCTCACTTGGAGCAAATTTTTGCAGAAGAATTTGGAAATGTTTCCCAATGTGACAAAGGTTTCAGCACACTGATGGAAAATTATAGATGGTAAGTCTGTTAAGAAACATGTTCTGACTCATGTTTTCCTCAGTCTTTCTATATTCCCCAAAATATCTTCTATGTACAATTTTAAGAAATATTTGCAAGGCAATTTGCAAACTGAAGAAACCTAAAGGCTCAAAATTTGGCTTGGTCTTTAGTCACTTAAAGAACACAGTAAATGATGAAGCATTTGACAGTGATTTTCTGACTCATGTATCAAACCCCTTTTCTATAGCACTGATACAGGGAATATATGCAGAGTTGAAAGACATCTTTCCAAAACACTTGTGAAAGTGCTGTACCCTAAAGGTTCCCATGCTAACATATGTTTCAATTCACTGGGAAACAAAAACATTGACAGTGAGTAATATTTTAAGAGTCTTATTCTGAAGCATGTTTTACCTGCCTCCCTTTGTATAATAGGCAGAAAGGGACTTTATGTGCAGCTGGAAGATTTCCTTGCAAGCATATAAAATAGAAGTTATCTAAAGGTTCCCAAGGAGACATGGGTTTCTAGTAACTGCAAGATACTGGTGATAAAGCTTTTTAAGAATAGTGAACTTATTCATGTTTTCCAAACTCTTACCTAAATGTCCCATGAAGGACTTATATGTGATGGTCAGAGACAAAAAGCTGGAAAATGAAGTAACCTAAAGATCCTTGAGCTGGTAGAGCTGGCAGTTCCTGAAATAACACTGGATGGCAAAGTGCTTGAAAATGTACTCATTCATGTATTCGACACCCCTCTGTGTAGCACCAAAAAAGGGCATCAGCACAGAACTGTAAGAGTTTGGCTTGGAAAATGATGTGGCCTAAAGAATCATGGTTCAAGGCCAGTGCCAGCCAAAAAAAAGCAAGACCTCATTTCCAAAATAACCAGACCAAAACAGACTGGAGGTGTGGCTCAAGCGGTAGAGCACCTGCTTTGCAAGCACAAAGCCCTGAGTTCAAATCCCAGTCCCACCAAAACAAAACAAAAACAGAACATTGTAGATGATGAAGCTGACTTCTCAGCAGAAAGCCTGGAAGTCAAAAAACAACAGATGATGTAATTAAAGTGATTTTTTTAAAAAGTCAACAGAGAATTCTACATCTCACAAACCAGTCCTTCAAAAATGAGAGAGAGAGTAGGTGAGGGAGCAGGCAGAGGAGGACGTGTTAATGGTGTTGGACCCATGGAGCTTCTTCTCCCTGCTTCTTTTCTTGGGAACCGCTGCAGAATGGAGGCAGATAAAGAGCTCTCTTGCACCGCCAGCAGGCAGCCAACCCCATCCAGGACATGGGACAGCGTCTCAACGTCCCTCAGTTTACAATAAAGACTTCAATTGTTTATATGCACAGGTTTTACATGCACTGTTCTTTCACGAAATTTAATAGAAACATTTAAGCCAGCATTGGAAAGTGAAGAATGTCAGCAGTGAGGGCATCATGGCAGAGAGGGGAAATAGGCTAGGAATGGGCAGGAGAGAACAGATGGAGAAGGAAGAGAGTCAGATCAAGAGCCCCGATGGAGTAAAATATTTGCAGGCTGTAGAGGAGGAAATGTGAATGGATTTAGTGGATTTCTCTAGGAACTTTGGAAGAGTGTTTGGTATTAGTGGAGCAGGAGGAGGATTGGTCCCTGTTTAGAAGGAACAAAAAGACTTTTGTGAGGAGTGTGCATAAATAAACCAGGAATCTACCCTGAAGATAACTGTTTGACTCTCTGGATACTTACTTTTTGAAGTTTGTTATAGAAGTTTAGAATCATTAGTACTCATTCTGTGTTTCCTTTGAGAGTATCTTCTAAGGAGAAAAGCTGGTTTGAAGTTTTCTTCATATTGAGGCTTAAAATTACTACTACTATGAAAAGTATAAAGAGAATGAACTATTATTGGGAATCCTGTGAGAGTTTGACAAAAAAAAGTTCATTGGAGACTTATCAGTGCCCTTTTGGCAAATAAGAGTGAGTCATCTGGCAAACAGGAAGGAAATTAAGTGTTAAATTTGGTCTAACTTGAATTTTAATTTGAGACTTGTTTCATGCTTGATAGTTTCTTCATTTGAAGGTTAGATTCACTATTCTTCTCTTAGAAATGAATGAGATAATAAATGAGAGATTGTGAGAAAAAAAATGAAGGACAAAATAAGATATTTCCAGACTTTTTAAATGCTGAGATCACTTACCTGCCATACAAGAAATGTTAAAGGAAGTCTTTCAGATTGAAATAAACGGGATCTGATGGAGAACAATATGGTGACTGGGTCATACCTATTGATTATCTCCTCACAGACAGCAAAAACAACAACAATACACACTACTGTGTCAAATGCGTGAAAAGTAATTATATATATGTGAGCAGGTACACAATTAATGAACATATAATTTATTACATCAATTACATAAAAGGCAAAGAGCTGTACAGTGGTAGTGTTGGTGTATAACTGAAGTTAAGTTAGTATCAATCCAAATTAGATTATCGTAACTTTAGAATGTTATATGTAATACACACAGTAATGAAAAACAAAACATCTATAGAACATACATAAAAGGAAATGAGGATGGAAACAACATATTCCTACAAAAATCAACTAACCACTAAAAAGGCAGCGATTGAGGAAGTTAGTCCAAAAATATTACTATCACTCACATTAAGTTTTTCTGTGGTACATAAACCTGGAATCCATTTTACAAATAATAGGAGTTTAAGGAGAAAACCAGTGGCTCTATTCATATAATTAAAATTTATATAGGAAACAAATAGAATTTCTTAAAAATTATGGAAGGAGCAAAGATATATCACTCTGGTATTATGTTTTATGCTTTTAGAACATCACCGAAAAACAATGACATAGTTTAAGTTGAAATTTCTGTGCACTAATAAAACTATGTACTCTCAAGTTGGTTCCTAAAACATCCATCCTCAGACTCAGCAGTCATAATTTTTGCAAAGAAAATTTTATTGATTTTATACATGAAATAACATTTGTGATTTCAATTTCAATAACATTAGATTGAAATAAAAGAATGAGAATATAAAAATCAGCAATACAACCTGCAATTATGTTGAGAAGCAGCAACTGAAAAGCCACATTATCTTCTGAGACTCAATTATCTAAATTCAACTATCCATGCATTTAATATAGCTAATGTATTCATTTATTCAACTAATATTATCCATAATTTGTTAGGGATTGTTCTAGGCCTAGGAATGAATATGTAAGTGAACAACATAAATATTCTTGTCCTCACAGACTTTTCCCTATTAAGATCATGTATTATACTTCTTTCTCTCCCAGAGTATGAGCTGACAACATATCTGAAGTTAATTGTGGGTTTGCTTCCCTTTCCTCCTACTTTTCACATAAATTTTTTCTATGAAGTACAGTATTATAATCTATTTTGAGGTTATATTACAATGTTCTTATATCCTAAAAATGCTGTATTTGAAATGGATGAAGTAATAAAATTTTAATGGAACAAAGCTTTACTCTTTTATGAATATAAGAAGGATTTGGTGTCCCACTCCAGATGTAGTTGAAGTAAACAGAGGCAAAGACCCTCAAAGGTTGCACTGTGAAAGAATGAGTCAAGGCTGGTGGAGTGGCTCAGGTGGTAGTGTGCTTGAGGCCCTGAGTTCAAACTCCAGTACCAAAAAAAATAAATAAATCATGGTGAATGTCAACCATACTCAAATAGTACTCAAACTGATGACAATCATTTTAAATGCAGGAAACAGCATGTAAAGTCAGAAGGAGGTTTACAAAAAAAATATACCTTATTCTCTATAACTGTAAAAATTTGATTTTAATGCATAGCCAAAACCTGTAAGGCACAAAATTACCATCTGAGTTCTGCTCATAACTGCCTATTACATCCTGTCCCTCTCCAGGTTTTGAACTTTTATTCTAATGTCAATTTTCAAGGTCTGACATCAAAGAGTAGGAGTTTTAATCAAAGCTCAATATCTTATTGTAATGAAAATTATCAAGGAATACAATTTGATGCGGAAATATGTACCTAATAATTACCTTTCATGACAATATTTTTGAGTCCCTAACAACACCCATAGCTGCTATTAAAATATGAGTATTAAAAGTCACTCCTGGAGTCACAACCACAGCTATGGTAAAAGAATTTTCTCCATCTGTTAATTCTCTGCTGTATACTTCTTTGATTCTTTTTCATTTTGTAAAATTTTACCTATGTCAACTAGCCCATGTTACAACATCTAACAAGACAGATAAGATATATTTTCCCAAGCATTTCACATTCTGTGAGGAAGATAGGCAATAAGTAAACAAATTTTAAAAATTAGAACTCCAACCAGAGTTAAATGCTATAAAGACAATCTTACAGGTGAATGGAGTAGAAAATGACAGGGCTCTGTAGTAGACAGAATGGTAAGGAAACTATTTCTTACGATCTCTGTCCTTCTTTGTACTGGGGGCCTGAGTAGGTCCTGGTTCAGAGGCAGTTTTCATTTTATAAAAGTTTGTGATTTCTTCTTCCAATTGCCTCCTATCTTCTTCAAGCTTCATTATCTCCTCTTGTTGAACCTTTTTAAGGTGCTCAAACTTGTCCTGCAACTGTAAAACAAATGTGCAGTTGTGACCTAAGACACAGTATGGTAGACATCTGAAAGAACATATTTGTCTTTTTTCTGGATGTCAAACAATCTTTTAAAAATTCATGTTTAATCCAGGCACTAGTGGCTCATGCCTGTAATCTTAGCTACTTAGGAGACTGAGATCAGGAGGATTGTAGTTCAAGGCCAGTCCAGGTTAATAGTTCATGAGACGCCCCCCATCTCTAAAATAACCAGAGCAACATCAACCAGAGGAGTAGAGAGAGAGCCTGCTTTGTAAGCATGAAGCCCTGAATTCAGACCCCAGTCTTACGCACCCCCCCCCCAAAAAAATCATGATTAAACTAAATACTCAGGTATGAAATTTTTCTTGATTTTAAAATTTAATGTTTTTCCATTGAGCCAAATTTAATAAAACCCATAGCCATGGGAAAACAAGATGATTTTATAGCCAGGCACTGGTGGCTCACGCCTATAATCCTAGTTACTCAGGAGGCAGAGATCAGGGGGATCGAGGTTCAAGGCCAGCCTGGGCAGATAGTTTGCAAGACCCTATCTCAAAAATGCCCAACACACAAAAAGGCTGATGGAGTGGCTCAAGTGGTAGAGCCCCTGCCTAGCAAGCATGAGGTGCTGAGTTCAAACCTCAGTACAGCCAAAAAGAAAAAAAAATTTATAACATGTTTATCTTTCCTAAAGAGGTATACTTTCTCACTCAACATATTCTCCACAAAGTCTCTCAAGCAAAGTTTCATCACTAAAAGTGCATATGTTGGAGGCAGGCAAGACAGCTCAGTAAAAGCCCCCAGCACTAACCTACTCTTCCACAAAGAACCAAAGCAGCAGGCGCAGGGCAGCCTGACAAGGTAAGTGACCACAGGATACTCAAAGCCAACAGTAGGGAAACTGAAATCTCATAAAATCCAGAGACCTGAAATGGCATCATAGCAAGAGAAACAAAATATCCCATCACCTGCCACCCCAAGTGTACAGCCAAGGGAGAGGGTCTCCCCTCTGCAGGGGTAAAAGTCAAAGAAAATCCCAGCAAAGTCTGCCAGTGCAGATATTAGCAGTTCTTACCTATTAGAAAGTTGGACAGACCTTGAAGGAGTACAAGCTAAATAGCACACCTAAAATCTGCAGAGTAGTCTGGCTTTCCCAGCAAACTCCCAGAAGCCATCTTGAGAAGCAAACTATTGTCTGAATTTAGATTGTTTTACGGGTCAGAAAAACCCATCTGTAGGACCTCACAGATACCCTACAGTACTGGCTCAGTAGGTGACCTCCTCATCAGCCAGACTTGATCAGTGGATTAACTGTGACACAAACCTGGTGAGAGTGCTGCATAGTAATCAGCAGGGGTTGTAAGGAGGAGGGGAGCAGAGAACTGGGCGATCAGGCAGCATGCCATCTAACACTGGGGGACATTTCAGTTGCATGTTTCACAAAGGTGCCAGGTTGCCCACACAATTCTCACCACCCCTCTCCCAGTGATGGGCACTCACTAGCATGGCAGAGCTGGAACTCTGAATGTCCACTTCCCCACCCACCCACAGAGACAGGCAGGGCAGCTTTGAACAACACCAACACAGCCCCGGCTGTAGCCCTTACCCCAAGCACACAGTCTGAGAAGACCAAGAGAGAAACTTTGCTCAGGGTTTCAAGTGCATCCACTTTCTTTCCCTCCTGCAGGCACCTCAGCCAGACAAATGTCACACAGCTCCCAGCCATGACACTCTCACTTGACCCCTGCTGAGTACTCCAACTCAAGGAATCAGAGACAAACAAACCCTTGCTGTCATACAATCCCCAAAAATGCCTAGCTAAGGGGGTTCTGAGTCCTGCTCAGGTGTACCCACAGCAGCATCAGAGAGGAATAATATTTCCTGCTTAACGTTTTGAAAAAGAACCAGTCAGAAATCTTCAAAATAAAGAGATCTATAAACAGATTTTAAAAATTCAGTTGAAAACCTCCAGAACAGACTAGGTCCAGCAGAAGAAAGAATATCAGAGTATAGAATCAACAGATCTGTATTGCTGACTCCAATGTAGGGACAGTGGGTTGGCTCCCAGTGGAATCATCAAGCTACCTTCTGGTCACAGAGGCTGAGGATCATTCCTACTGAGGATCTGATCCTGCACATGGTATTTCTGCAAACACTTGAAAGTCATAGTGGGTAAGCTGCTGTCAAAATCCATAGTCCAGATTTGGACCAGCATGACTTGGAGCACGTGTGGGCATCCAGCAGACGAAGTAGGCAAGGGACAGGTGTTGACTGCTGTACATCAGCGTGTGGCCCTGCTTTGTCTCCAGTGAATAGATGTGGTCAGTAATGGAGTCAAAGAAGTCACAGAGACTTCTACCATGTCTACCATAGGCACCTGGACATGCTGATGGCACCATAGAAAGTGCTGATGACCATGGAGGACAGCAGAAGCTTGCTGTTGACAGCCACACCATTGCTGACAAACAGGCTTCTGGATATCTAGGAGATGCCACTGACTGAGGACTTCCAGAACTGAACTGGGAAGGGAAAAAGGGTGCTGCTGTGGAAGCAGTGTGTCAGCAGTTGGCAACACATGAGACCTGCATCTTTTGCTAGGCCGTCTCCATCAAAAACTCACTCCCACAGGAGGATTGACAGTTCCATCCAGAAACTGCATACGGCGAAGCTCCAGGCAAGGCCTCTGGGAGAGAGAACACCTGTAGAGACTCTGGAACCACAGTCCCTGCTGGCCCAGAACTCTAGTTTCAATAACAATAGTTTCTCCTCTCTAGGAGAAATAGACTATTTTGGGTCTTTGAGAAATCTGGGCCTCTACTCAAGACAGATCTTTTGCAGTATTATATCCAGACAGAAATTTTAAAAAGGAAGAATGAAGACAGTACTCAAGCTTTTTAGGACACCATTAAAAGAACAAATCATGCCCTTTATCTTTACAAAGATAAAACTAGAAGTCAACAACAAAATGAATCTTAGAAATTACACAAATACATGGAGACTGAACAATACACTTTTGAACAAAGAATGGTTATCAAAGAAATTATAAGAGAAGTTTTAAATTTTCTTTTTAAAAGTGAAAATGGAAACATGGGAGAAAGGGCAAGATGGGAGCAGAGTAAAATTCTTCAGGGAGCTCTCTCTGAAGAGACCCCAAGTTGAACACCCATACACATACCAAACTAGCAGCCCAAAAGCTAAGGAAGTCAGGGAAAAGATGACAGTGTCTGCTTTTAGTACGAGAAAGTGAAAAGACTCACTGAAGAAGACAGTAAGGAGTTTCCCGTGTCACATCCCTCCCCCAACTCCCAACAGTCCAGCAGGGAGAGGGCAACTGCTCCTTGAGGGAAAGAGAGAGAATTAAGTTCAGGCCTTAGACTCGAAACCCAGTACTGGGGCCACTATGGTGAAATTCAATGTTGGGAAAAGCCCAGTGACTGATACCACCAGGCCAATACCTGCAGACAGAGCCTCTAGAGCTTCATTAGGCCTCCCCTAACCTCAGGCCACACAGCCAGGAACAAACTCCACCACTCGAGGAGCAGAACACTAAAGCTAGCACAGGTCTTCTCAGAGCCTAGAGAAAAACCTGCTATGGTGAGACCAAGCACTAATCAGAACTAAAGTCTCAATACACAGTACAGAGCTCACAGATGGAGCCTCTGAATAGGCTCTGTATTTAGACAGAGAAGTGCATACCTGCAGGACAGACACGAGCTTCGGCCAACCTTGTATTGGCCGAGGGAATGCTGCCCTACTCTCAAGACTGTGCAAGGTCCCTGTAGCTGTGAGAATCAGACACCACCCACGTTAGCACATATTTTGGTGGCCAAGACAGTATTTCCCACCACACATTCTATAACCTCAGGTAGCACAGCTATCACCAGGACAGTGATCAAACATGAGGATCTAGAACAGTCCCAGCACCAAGAAGAGACCTGTCCCAAGGGAGTATCTTGTGTTTTAGCCTACATCACTATAGGCTGTGGCATGATTCTCAGTATACCCCTGAGATTATGTAGGTCCTTGCAACTGTGAGACTTAGAAGCAACCCTGATTAGCATCAACCCAGATGGCCAAGGGTCTGCCTTGAGTGACTCTACTCCAACCTGGAACAGGTTCTTACTAACAGGGTAGTAAGAAAAGGACTGCTATGGTACTTGATGCAAGGCTGGTGAAACTTAATTCTGGGCAGATTTTGGCAACCTCACCAGCAGGACTGTCTGTAGATGGAGCCTCTGGAACATCACCAGTGCTAGTGGGACATGTGGTCCCTATCCATCAGACTTCTAGCTAGTATCACCTGAGGCTGGTTGCAGCGGTCTTCAGCCATTTGTCTACTTCAGCAGGAGGAAGCCCATAGAACTGTGGACCTGGGTCCTAATCCAGTACAGTACCTATATTGGTGGCCTGTCATCTCAAAGCATGACTCAGCTCAGTAACTTTAATGGCCACAGATATTATATAGGAGCCTGTAGCTTGTCTGTCCACAGTGACTGTCCAGAATCAGGCAGAATCCTATTGCATCTGACTATAAGCCAATAACTGTTGATGAGGTATCTGGGCCAATCTTGGCCCCTAGGGTAAGCTTTTGGGGACAGACTACTCTTCTCCAGGGACTCTACAATTGCTTCCAGGACAATAAACCAATGGAACATTCCATCCAGAAGTTTAAGAATACACATTTTCTCATCAGCACAGGAAACATTCCACAAGATATATCATATGTTAGGCCACAAAATAAGCCTCAAATTTTTTAATGAAAGTACATTGGGCATTGTCATATGCCTCCACCCCTATAAAAAAAAGGAAGAAAGTATATTAGGTATCTTTTCTGACCACAGGACAATAAAGCTAGAAGTCAATAACAAGAAAACTTTGAAAACTATGCAAACACATGCAAATGAATCTATTTTTGAGCAAGCAATGAATCAGTGGAAGAAAGCATGAAGGAGAAATTTAAACTTCTAGAAATAAATGAAATAGAGATACAACATAC